CTACGATTTAGACATTTTGCGCCACTGGGAGAAACATATTTTACACTTAGTTTTCAATTATTGCATGTTTATCGTATATGTACTGAATACAAGTTCCGGGGAAAAACGGTTAAGACCAATATATTGGGGAATGCCCAATTTCGAGATATGCGTAGGGTTGCCACCATTTTATGGTGAAAATTAGGGCTGTATGTTTGACATCGATGTTTTCAGATGGAGAAACTATGGATGTTGTTTTTTCATTACCATGCCTTTTCGGAGATACCTGCAAACAAAAATCCATCGATCCGTGCATCTAAACTTACTCATTTATATTATAATATTAGTAAGATCAACCCTAGTGAATAGCTTTTAGTCTTGAACATAACGGCTCTGGTTCAAATTTCCAAAGCTAATTAAAATTAATATCTCTATTTTACCTACATACAGGTAGTGACGAGAATTTCTTCGTTGTCATATTTGACTATAAAAGCGTAGGTCTATGATACCTACCACTTTAGGATTTTATAGGCTTAAAATCGAGAGCTTAATTAATTAGCAACACAATGCGGTCAAGGTCGCGGTCAGTGCGATGTTTAAGAGAAGCACGAGGTGTTTGCGCGGGCGCAATCTAACCGCGCCGATAGTAAGCACATGCCTGCGGTTTTCCTGCACAGCGTTCATGCATCACTGCTACGCAAAACTCAATGTTAATTAACATACAAAACGCTAAAATTATGAACACATCTAGCATAATTAATTTCATTAAGAGGTAATTGTTTAAAGACATAATATAATCAGATTTTTCAAAGATTGCATAAAATGGCTACAGCATTGATATAATAAAACCTATATATATAGGGTGTTTCATATAAGCTTACATATAATCGAGAGTCATTTGATTCTATAGGTATCTTATATAGCGTATCTATAGGTCACATATCTATTACCGTGATATCTTTATCATCCCCATCCTTATCTAATTCTCTTCCCTTTCGCATACTTTTTTCTTAATAAAATGACTGACTGTCGCCCAAAATTCCATCTGCGTGGAATTTAAAAAAAAAACATAATAAGTAGCATATGTCTTCTTCCAGACTGTTCCACATCAATGCCGAATTTCAGCAAGATCCGTGCAGTCCTTCTGAAGATACCTCCCAAACATCCATCCAAACAATTGCATTTATAAAATTAGTAAGATGTAAAGGGTAAAAGACTAAGAAAAAGTATTGAACTCATGCATTAGTCAAATCACAGAATATTATTATACTACTAATTGTTGCCCGCGACTTCGTCCTCGTGGAATTAAAAAATAGTCTATGTTTCTCCCAGACTTAGTTCTACATCTGTGCAAAAACTAATCAAGATTCATTGAGCCGTTCCGGACATACCTTTAAACAAAATTCCACTAAACTTTCGCATTTATAATATTGGTAAGTACTTAATTAAATATATCAATTAAAAAAAATTACATTAATTAAAAATAAATTAAATAGAACACTATTTATCTTATTGTAGTAGAATTCCTAAAGAATGGATAAAGACAAAAAACTTTTTACATACAAAAATTTAACTATTGCAATATTACTCATGAATTATAAAAAAAAACTACTTTGAAGTAAAAACCAATAAAAACTAAACAGGAAAAAATATCATCACTGTGAAGAAAAAACTTTTGGCAAATTTAATTGCTTTTATTTCTTTATCGAGTCTTATATTGTTTTTGTATGGATAAAAATAACAATTACTTAAAATTTTCTTTGATGAATTAAGATGAATATATTTGGATCATTGAAGATTTATCATAAAGATGCCAATAAAAACAAATATGTTATCATCAAGAATATTATCCCTCAATCCCGAGTAATAATATTTTCTCTTGCAATTCAAAATAAACAAATACATTTTAAATAGAACTGTGAAATATTTATGGCGGCATAAATTGTTTGGCTTCTACAGAACCTCGATAAGAAGAAATTATTAATATACTGTTGGTCAAACTCCGTCCACACAATTAAAAAAACTTACACAATTAAAAAGTAGCCTATGTGTTCTTCCAGACTATGCTCTATATGTGTGCCAAATTTCATCAAAATCCGTCATGCTGTTCCGGATTCAAACATCCATCCATCCTAAGCATTCACATTTTTTATTCACAAAACTAAAAGGCACATGATATTATTTTTAGTTAATCATTGTCAATAATTTATAATGAATTACACAAAAATAAAACAAACTCCATCATAACAAGTAAGCTAGGCTGCCGGTTACAATGCACACATCCTCAAAAGTTACTCTTTAAAACAGGTCCATGCCATACCAGCGCTACTATACTGGCATGATGTAAAACAGGCATTACAATACAAAAGCAAACACAGTCTTACTAATATTATAAATGTGAATGTTTAGATGCACAAATGTTTGAAGATACCTTTGGAATGAATGAATTAATCTCTATCAAATTAGGCATACATATAGAACATAGTCTGGAAGAACATTGACTATTATGTTTTGTCTGTGCAGATGAAGTCGCGGGCAACAGATAGTATTCGATAACTCCTCTAGTAACAACACCTACATGTAAACATAATAATCCTAATTATCTATAATGAGAATAAAATGCACAATATTGCATGTAAAGCACATTTTGTATATTTCTAAGAAAATTACATGCATCATTATATTTTCTTAGAAGTGTCAATATTAAACTGATATATTAGGTTACAAAAAATAACAATCTAAGGAGGTCAAATACAAAACTTATTTTTCTTGCTCATGTCACATTTTTTGGTTTTTAACCTGTGGTCAGCTATATATTATGTACGCTGTTGCTATTATGTAATTTTATTGAAATAATATTCATTTTCAAACCATATATCTATTTCTCTTAGGACAATGTGTACCCCTATTATGAACCCTAAAACAAACATCTAATACAATCAATAGAAAGGAGATAAGCAAGGAACCTCTATAGGTGAGATTCATTGTCCAACTCTAACTACCATAAGCGAGAAACCCAATTTTTAGAGTAACCTCTATAAGTAAAATATTGCAGTCCCATGGATTCTCGCTTATGCATGTCCATCTGTATAGATCAACAACTTATGAGATGAAAAGAGTATGGTTGGATCACTTTATACCCTACATAATATACTTAGGAAAAGAAAATGAAAGAAAAGATGTTTATAATTTAGAGAGCAGCGTCACATCAGTTTGAAAGTATAAGGAAGAAAACTGAACAACCACTTTTATAAGGAATTGAAGAGCAAAAACATATTACTATATTAGTATAATAAAGATAGTTGTAATATCATTTAATTTGATACAAAAATATATAACTTTATTTGTTTATTAAGAGATTAGAGACATTATCAAAGATGGGAATAATTGTTTGTCATTGTTTCATATTATTTATCTACAAATGTAAATAAATAATGTACCATTAATTATATAAATGTTTAATGAAAAATAGTTAAAAAATAATTTTCTGAAATCAAAAGTTTCATGGATCTTTTGTTTTATATAACTTTGATAATTATCAAAAGACTCTGGTAGCCTTTTTTATGCTAGATTTTTATGCTCCGTGTTTGGTGTCTATAGATTACATGTTATCTTTGGCTACATATAAGATGAAGAATGCAATGTCAAAAATTTTACTTTTTACATTTTATCAGTTTATCTTTTACATAAAATGTTACTAAATCATTATTATTATTATTATGGAACCATATTCTGCAAGTTACAATGTTGTTAAAATACAATGGTTTTGTGTACTAAAGTTAACACATTCAGTGCCACTCTCGCTTGGTAAGTTCTTTTTCATATAAACAATAGTATTGGCATGGAGTGTGTTACAGAGAGAAAATTTTATCATTGTATTACTATAAACAAACATTGAATATGTTTTAAAAATACCAACATTTTGTATAGTAGTATTTAAAGATTATAAATTATTGAATTGAATGAAATGTAAGTATAGAAAATATGTTTTATTTTGTTGTTCACTGATTATTGACCTGTTGCAGAAAATGGAAATGTGTTTTTTGTGTTAATTCATAGTAGGTAATGAGAAACAGAATAAAACAGTGTGCTATTATATTACATACACAACTTATCAAACATGTAAAAACTTAGGTTAAGTTTTCAATCGTTGTTTTTATTATGCGAAACAAGAGAATATCGTACGAGATTCTTATTAGATTAAATTTTAATGTGAACATGATAATAAAGACGTTAAAAACAAGTTTTATTTTCTTAAAACTTTTAATCGAGTATGTTTACCATCCAAAAATCATCGAAGTGTGCCAAAAGTTATAAATTATTAGTAAGGACGTTATGGTCAGCGAAATATTTAACGTTATATGTAATAAGTTGTAAAGAAGATAAAACAATGATTTTGATTGTTATCGCCTCTTGTATGTTTAGTATTATTACGTAGCGGAAGTGTATGAGGTCTTTAGTACGCGTAGACAAGATGCGCTTTAGTTAACTATCCAATAACAAGTCACCATAATTGAATGTGAGGACATTGTGAGTTTGCCAATTGACTATAATTGTCGCAAAAACATTTTGGAGGTCATCTTATTACTCGCGCATTTGGGGAAAAAGTTGTGGTAAAAAATTAGAGAAAAAGAACAAGTTAACGAACGCAATTTCGTTCTTTGGGGGAAATTTTGAAGGTATTATGCGACTGATTTAAAGAGTCGCTAAATAATACTAAGTATCAAAGTATATAGTACATTGTATAGCTCGTCGGCTTCACTCAATTTTTTTTTTAAGTTTGCAACTTTTCGTCTGTGCAGTTTTAGGAAACAAGTTATTAAAAGTACGGCAAACCTGGACATCGGTGTTTTAAGACGAATGGTATAAAAACCGGAACACAACACGAAAAAACACCCACAAAGCACTGGTGAAGAACTCGTCGTTCGCGTTAAAGCGAAACACGTTTATCAAGATAAAAAAACACACAAATAAAACACTATAACCACTGAAATACGCGACGGAACCTGACAAGTACCCACCTTGGTCTTCGTTATTACATGTGTGGCCAGTTTTACCACAGCAAAATTTCCCGTTCCGATCGTCTTTTCCAGCTGATAGTTTCCGACACATACTAACTGGTTTATTGGAAAGTGTTTGTTTTTGAGTTCTGAATTGATGTCGTTGGCCATTTTCGTGAAAAATCGCGATAACACACCGCTCGGCCTCACGTACACTACGGCCGATTCTTGACTACTGTCGTTAGTTCGGGCGGACGGCCGCAGCAGCGCCACCGTCGCTCACGTCATTCGTTGGGGACATTCAATTGCAGCCCTCGAGTTTTCATTAAGAAGTAAAAAAAAATACGATTTCCCAAACGCAAATCTTCGACATTTTAACGACGTTATTTAACCAAAGAGTTATATTATGAAAAGTACAGCCTAAATATAATGCCAAACGACACATATGTCCATCGTTATCACCATATCTCTTATCAATGTGTAGAGCTTAAGTTGAACATCGTTCGCGTGTAAAAAAAAGAAGCCGATTCACAACGTTTACGCGACTAGCGCTGTCCGCTCGCGCCGCATTGTTTATCTTGCGTTAGAGTGAGATGGACTGAAAGGAGAGGGGCAATGACGTCAGGTGTCAGCTTTGACGTCACACGCGGCAATTTCAAATGAGTCGAGAGGGTACGTCAGACGAAAATATCGATTTTTCCTTTGGAAGAGAAATGGAAAAGTAAGGTTTTGTAATAAAACAGCAAAGTAGAAGCCTCGTTTTTTAAATAAAGGAACGCCAAGTATAATCATTTAGGCAATTTAGGTTTAAATTTATTTTAAAATATGTTTTATAATGACGTTTGTGTTTTGTTTTAAATTTAATTAGATTCGTTTTCATTTACTGTAATTTTTGAATGTTGAAGTTTTAAGGATAGAGAATCTTTAATTTTATTTTGACTTCGATACTTAACGTTAATTAGTTAAAATTAAAAAAAAAATCGCCCAATAAAGTGAACAAGAATTTAACTGTAAACTGCCTATATTCTAAAAATTCTAGTTTTTTCTGAGAGAATAAATTTTCTTCTCACAACCTTATAAAAAAATAGTATACATAATTTAATTCTAACCAGGGGAAACTTGCTAGTAGTTTGTTGTACAATGAAAGAAAGACCAATGAATGTATGGATGGGTTTGTAAAAGAGGATAAGGACGCGTAAGAACGGACTGAATTCAGATATGACAGCTGATGAGATGTTTGGAAGAGCCTACTGCGATGATCCTCCGTAGGGACAGGCTGCTAAGGACTTAGAATTCAGGTGTAGCCAGAAATTACTATCAACGCAATCTGTTAAGGAATTGTAATATGTCGATCTAAAACTTTAAACTATAAGGTATTAGAAGAATCTTAGGAAACTTAAACAGTTTTCAAACATATATATGGTTCACAGGTCATGTAATACCCGCTATTTTAATAAAAGAGAACATTTTCATATTATTTTCGGTCGGTTCGAATCTTCTAAGTAAGAATGATTTCGTTAAATTCGTCTTACCCGCAACGTTTTCAAGATTAATTTAACATCAACTGAGGAATACATTCATGCTTCATATGAATGGTAAATGCTCAAAATAGATAGCTATTATACTATCGCTGTTCATTCATGAATCTCGAAATTCACAAAAGGATGCTATGTTGTGTTGAAGTTCTATTGATCGTGAAATAATAGAGTGCAGCGCCATCTATGAACAAGACAGTGAAAAAGAAATAGACAACTAGTATTGCCATGTTAAAAAAAGACTAAGTGACTTTTTTAAAAATTCATGGTCACATAATTTAAGATTTGTTAAAATTATTTTTTCTTATATTTAATTAAAGATTTAGTAGTAATCAAAATGAATTGTTTTCAAATGTCATTGCAAGAAAGCATTACAGAATTTTTTGTATAAATGCGATGTAGTTTAAATATTAATGGTAACTTATAGGTTGTTTTTATTCTATTTTCAAAAAGTTTTGTTTAACTGGCATTTAAATGAATTATAGTGCGACTAGGACGGTAAAAGGCGCTGCTATCGCAGTTAGTTCTGGCAACATTAAACTGTGCTACTACCGCTTTCTTATTGGTCAAAACTTGACGCTGTCAAGATAACATAGTGCACATATTTCCCTCGCTCATGAGATCCATGCGTAACATAGAAATAGACAAATAAAAATTTTACATGACAGCTACTTTTCCTTAATATCCTTTTTAATCTTAAGTTCTGCAAGTTATCACGTAAGCAATACTGGGTGAACAAAATAAAACAAGTATTTAATAATTTACTCATTTTAAATATATATTTCTATAATAGAAATCTGTTACGTATTTTACATAAATAGTTATTGAGGGTAATCCCCGCAAACCGTTTTATAGTATTAAAAATACAGTAATAATTATAATAAAATAATAAATTAATTTTAATATTATTAATACAATGATTTTAACAATTTAGCATTAATATCTTTGGCTAAGTAAGATTCCTTTGTGATAAATTAATGAACAAAAAAACGTTCGGGGCACCTAGTTCAACAATTTCGGCGGGTCCGACCGTATGGCGCGCTCTGTCAGTCTGACAGCTGTCAAAGTGACGGAAGCTCGGGGCCGCCGTTGCCGATCGCGCTGCCGGCGCAACATGCGCGCTGCTGCGAAATGTGGGGTGAAAAATGGTCACACGATGCGTTAGTAAAATTAAATATTACGACTAATAAGGCTAGAAATGCTTACACGGCGACGCACGAAGCAGGCGCCCCCAACAGATGATCAACAACAATAAAATTATATGTATAAATTATATATATAAAAAAATGAAAAACAAAACAATCACGCGGTAACGAAGCATACCTAACTAACCTCACAATTTATTTTCTATAGCGGCAACACTGACTCCGTTGCGAACGCGTTGCGCCCGGACTGGCTTCACACTCAAATTATTATTTTTTACATTTTCCTACATATACTTCATTTAAACATGAGATTTTTATGTCGAAAAAGAATAGCTAGGCTGTTTACCTCTGCGTTATTTAACAACTATGATTGCATTTAACAAGTAATTTTTCGTCATTAATGCAACTTGTATCCCAAAGTATTTTAACAAGCATTTTATATAAATCTCATGTTTAAACGACTAGAGCCCCCAATGATGTACAATTTCCAAATACAGGGGTAACTATAATAAAAATCGTAAACGCAAATACATAGGAAATATTTAACATAGATATATAACCTATAGATATAACTGAGTACAAAAGTGAAACGAAAAGGTTTCCAGAAGTTTTTGTTTGGGGTAAAATGCCTTAGCATTGTTATTCAGTTTGAAAAATTGACTTTCGATAAGACATCAAACTAATATGACGCATCTATTGGTTTTACATCTATGGTAGTGACATTATTATGTACACGTAATTTTGACTTGTAGAATATTTGAAAACTAAAATAACCTATCGTATATAAATTATATCTATTGGTTAACAACTGTAAATAACTTAACCCATTAGTGCATAAAGTTTATTAACGCCTTTTTTATTATGATCACTGTAATATATTTTCATTTCGAATGTGAAAAAACTGATATATAAACACGGCTAAACACTGACGTATATTCGTCCGGTGGTGTGTTCGACTAGTTTCGAGCCCATCGGGGGCCCTTCATCAGGATGAGTGGCACTGGTATTATTTCGCAGACGCGGCCCTCAGCTCACTCGGTCTACTAGTCGGTGCCGCCACCGGACGTATATACGTGAGTGTTTAGCTGTGTTTATATATCAGTTTAGTATAATGTCTCCCGAAAGTTTGAATAATTTAACATTTCGAATGTATTTGACCATTAAATTGTATAAAATATTTAATCAATATGAAAGTTTAGATTTTATAGCCCGTCCGATAAATCGGACGTTATGCTTCCCGGAATATCATACCAACAGTATTACCACTTCAAATATATATTACACTACTGTTTAAAAAAATAAACGGCTAGTAAAATATATATAACTCCTAAAATAACAATTTTATTGGCGTCCGATTTATCGTACGTTATTCACTAATGGGTTAAATTATTATTGCCAATAAAAATAGCACATCTCTGTGTTTCGAGACAATGGAAACCCAGCATTATTGGATAAATCTTATGTATTTAAAATTTACGATTCATACACACAACCATATAATTTTCTCTAAGCAATAAACTTTAGTATTTGTTTTAGGATCTGTTTCATAATGTCCAACTTCTAAATAAGGTAAATAGAACTTTAGTCATTATTGTCGTTTTAAAGAAAGCTGTGAATCGCAAACAAGTTTAATTTCTTAGTTATCTAGCAATTTACTTGGACATTATAAAACAGATCTTTAATTCGTTATTTATAATTCATCAAAATATTCAAAATTCACATAATAAGTAAAACTGTCAAATATTGTATTTGTTGGTAGATTTCAAGTTGGGAAATATTTTTTTTACTTTCAAATTTATGTGATATTTATGTATTTTGGGCCCAAAAAAGGACGGAGAGTAGAATTTAAAAAATAAAAACACGACTATATATTGGCGGTAAAAAAAAATAGCAAAAGTGCAAGACTAAAAATATGCAAGATTTTTTTTATGCCAAAAATTATTAGATTTCGTTATAAAAGAATTAGAATTTGATTAAATGATGAATTATAAAAAACATGTCAATATTAAAAAAAACACCAAATAAATTTGTGATGAAACATAAAATTAAAAAAAAATTGCAATAATGTTATCACTCGTATAAATATTTAATTTCACTATAATATATTAAAAAGAAAAAATGTTAAAAATTAAAACTGGTTAGTTTGACATATTTTTTTTTTAAATTAAAAAAAAAAAACTCCAGCGTTCAACAACCGTTCTGCCACAAAAATCTTTTTCAATCTCATATGTAAAATTAAGCAATTTGTAAACGAAAAAAAGAACCTTAGATTTAATAAACAACAGATAATATATTTTTTTATTAATAAATAAGCTTTACACGCATATGTACAAGAGGACCGACTTTTTTAGGCAATCCCTAGAAATATTTTTATTTTATTTTTCGACTAACAGAGGATTTGTTTCTTCACTATTTTCATACTAATACGAGTTTAAAGAACCGACACACGACCGCAATGTTATATAAAAATAATCACGCAATTTTTAATTACATTTGAAAAGTCTGAAAAAAATTATTATACAAAAGAGGAAGAAATAAAGGAAATTTAAATATATAATTTTAGGGGCAATTGAAATAGCAATGGTTGCTTTTTAATTTTCTAGAAAAGAACTAGAACGTTTTTTCTTTAAAAGGCACATACATGTCCATAAATTTAAATAAATCTGTACTTATTATTATAAAAAGGATAGATTTGATTGTTTATATTGAATAGGCTCCAATTTAATTACTGGGAAGTTACACTATCTCCAGTTGAAATTGGCTATATTAATTTCTTTTTTATTTCCGAGCTGACGAAGTCGCGGGGAAGTGCTAGTAACTTATTATTTGATGAATAAATATTTGAACATATAATTATTTTATCTATATATATAAAAGAAAGTCTTGTTAGTTACACTATTTATAACTCAAGAACGACTTTACTGACATGGCTGAAAATTGGTGAGGAGGTAGCTTAGAGCCAGGAGATGGACATAGGATACTACCTATTCATTTTTGTCGAATTTATGCCTTGAAGAGTTGCTTTTTATTTAACTTACTAATATTATAAATGCGAATGAATAATGGATGGCTGTTTGAAGATATGTCTAGAACGGCTGAACGGATCACGAATTAATTTGGCATACATATAGAAGATAGTCTGAAACACATAGGCTACACAATTTTTTTAAATATCCACGCTGACGGAGTCGCGGGCGACAGCTAGTATTATATAATTTATAATTTCTCCGTGTGTCGGTTTTTTGAACGATAAGTAAATTTGGCGGAGGCATTTCGGTGATATAAAACTACATTAAATTCCACAATAATCACTGTTTTAGCGTTTTTGTTCAAGCTCGGTACGACGCCGGCCCAACATTTATATACTATATTATATACTAATTTATTTTGGACGATATAAACTGAATGATACGTGATAAGCGTCCATATTTAAACACTGATTTTTTATATTTTAGTATTCATAAAATATGTGGTACCCATATTTAAATGTCACTGCATTTCTCGTTCAAATTGACTACACAATCTTGGGTTTCTAAAACCCCAAGTTATGTGTAATTTCATATTCAATTTTTAGTTTTATTACTGCTATTAATTTTTAAATATCCATTTTTCAATATGTGTACCACATTTTTCAATGGCACTGTTATCTAGTACTGGTAACACGAGTAGTACCAATAATACCACTTTCACACGAAGACATAACAGTTTGTTCAAAAATAGTACCATTCTGTGTTCAAACAAAAGCAATAATGCCTTGTCTTCGTGTAAAAATTACTATAGTCAAACAAGGATATCTTAACCAGTGAGAGGTTCTATTACAGCGGTTGCTTCTGTCTGTGTAATAACTACTTACCGTGGGTTTCTAAGATCAAAATCTACGATAAAACATATTGTTATCTCTGTTCTGACAAATGTGACAAAGATCACGATATGTTTTATGCAGATTTTGGTCTCAGAAACCAACGGTAAGACATAGGAAATGGCAAAATACAAGACAGGTACAGTACAGAGGATTTTGACATTTTTTAAAGTTGACAGTGTGGATTTAGTGCGCTGTCATAATTTAGTTTCTTATTCCCACAGGTTCAGATAGCCTAATCAGTTGTGTAACCGTGGGTTTCTGAGACCAAAATCCGTTTAAAACATATCTGTTTTGTCAAATACAATATGATATGTTTTATAAATAGATTTTGGTGTCAGAAATCCACGGTTAGTGTTACTAATACTAGTGGTACGTGTCTATGGTCAGGTGTGTGTGATGTGCGTTGATGGTCGCGGGGGGGAGGGTGGTGTGGGGGCGCTACGAGCGCTGTAGCTCGTAGAACAGCACGTAGGCCTCGGGGGAGACTACGTTGCGGGGGCTGATTGGTGTTACCCTGTAAATATAATCACTTGTTGTTAATTTTTCATTAAATTGAGAATTTTATTATTCTGGAATTTTGTTAATTTCTGTGTAAATCCTACTAATATTATAAATGCGAATATTTAAATGGATGGATTGTATAAAGGTATCTCTAAAACGCTTGCATCTCGTTGAAATTTGTCATACATATAGAACATAGTCTGGAACACATGGGCTACTAAGTTTTTTTTAACGGTCAAAGTCGCGGGCGACAGCTAGTATATAATAATAATAAAGCCATTTATTTCCATACAGATACATATATGGTAGAAATAAAATGTACAATGTAACTTTTTTTTAACTATCTGTAGGAACCCCAGTTCAGGTAAAGGCCTCCTCCAAAGATGCCCAATTCTATCTCGAGCCACGTGTGTCCAGGTAGTGGCGGCTACTTTCTTTATATAGATAAATAAAGAAAGTAAAGCTATGTATATAATGAATGGTTAATATTATTATAATACCTGGAGTCATTGTACTCGTGCCAATCGCCTGTATATGGATGTTTGCAGTACGCGGTGTAGTGTCCCGAGTAAGTCGTACCTGCACACAAACGTCACACAATGTTACAAAGGTAGCTTTCGTTTAGATATTGCCGCTTACTTGAACCACATAACATATATATATAAAAGAAAGTCGTGTTATTTACACTATTTATAACTCAAGAAGGGCTTTACAGATATGGCTGAAAATTAGTGAGGAGGTAGCTTAGAGCCAAGAGACGGACATAGGATACTATTTTTTTTTGTCGAATTTATGCCTTGAAGAGTTGCTTTTTATTTAACTTACTAATATCATAAATGCGAATGTTTAGATGGTTGTGATGTGGATAGATGGATGGGTGGGCTACAAGTCGCGGGCGACAGCTAGTTGTTATTAAAAGTAAATAAAAAAGTTAAGCACGGACGATTTTTTATCGCGCAGTGTTGCATTTTGAGCTCTGGGCGAAAGACATAAGAGTGATTTTAAATAGTTCCTCGCTCGAGGGCTACTAACGCCGAATTGTTGAAAAATCACTCGTGTGAATGGGCTTTTAAACGTGACATTAGACGTGTCTTTTCTTATGTGTGTGCACGTGTACGTATATGTGCGTATACGTATGCATACGTGTACGTGTGCGTACGTTGTATGTGTCTGTGTGTGTGGTGATGCTGACCCGAGTGGTTGCTGACGGCGTAGAGGTTGTAGACAGGCTGTGCAGAACGGCATGCGGCGAATGGCGACATGTCCAGTCCGCTCAGCGGGAACTCCACGCAGACTGACAACTTGCCACGGAAACGCTCCGTCGGCGAGAACCTAAAAATCACCACAGTACATTAATATGTGAAATTAAACCTTTTTAGCGTGTAAAGATATTTTTATTGATAAAAAATCATAAAAGAGTAATATAAATAAGTAAACATACCTCTTAAGATGTAGCACCAAAACTTGCGGGAACTTCTGCACCGTGAACCATTTGAGGCACTTCCGTCGCACGCCGCACTTTGAACACGTCTGAAATATTAACATCAAAATTACTTTTTTTTTATTAAATTCGCATCCAAGTAAATAACATATTATTTAGCTTCTATGTTCCTTAAAAATAATATTAATATAAGAAAATTACATATATTCAAAACCAGGCTAAAATGAAAATTTTCACGCAATTTGACCACAGTTTAAAAACAGATTTCTGACATAATTGCAACGCCATCTATTGTATTTATCTAATACTAATAAAGCACAGCGCCATCTATCGTAGATTATAGCGCATATACTGACCGGTTTCTCGTCGCCATCAAGCTCCTCCTCGCGCACGAAGTGCTGCAGGCACTGCTGCAGCTTCAGGTTGCCCGTGCGCGACGGGATCGGCAGACTGACAAACATTTTATATACATAATTATAACAACAACAACAATTTAATTGGAATTATACTTTTGGAATGCATATTGTAGAGTAACATTTTATCCAGCTTTTGCCTAAGTTAACACATTCAATGCCACACCAATGTACTATAAACCTATAGTATGAGATGGTGGCATTGAACGTGTCTAGGGCAGGGGTGAGCAACCATTTTAATAAATGGACCAATTAATTTTTTTTGAACACAAACTGAAAAACTTGAATTTTTTAAAGATAAATTTGACATTGTTTTTTCGATTCATATATGTACTACCATTTTATTATAAAAATTTGTATACCAATGACAAAGTCAATTAAATAAATTTAAAAAATGTTTGGCGGGCCAGCGCGTTGCTCATCCTTGGTCTAGGTTCCAGGAACCAAGGAGTGGGGGTAGTTACCTGAGGTCCCAAAAGGGGTCGAAGGTGACACTGTCGTGGTTGCAATGCGTGCATCGGAGCGTGGACTTGAGCTGGCCAACAAAGATGTCACCCACACGACTGTCCTCCATGCGCAGGTAACGGGACCACGCCTCCGCAGCCTTCGCACTGTCACTGGAACACAAAACTACCGTTGCTATGGCAACACTACGTTGACCGTACTTTAGGGTTAGACAAAATGCATTCGCTTCAAAGAGATTCCATAACGAACTTTAAAAATGTATAGAACTGACAATATCTTTGGATAAGTCACGTGATCGTCGCGCCTCAGTTCCGTACAATTTTGAAGTTCGCTATGGAATCGCTGCGAAGCGAATGCACCTTGTCTTACCCCTCTGCTCTCTATAAATAGATAGGCCATTGCTTAAGAATTAGTTGCTTTGTTTAGACTTAACCACGCCTAAAGTTTCTGACAATTGTCTCTATTATTAGTTCTAATTCTCACCACCGCTACTGACAGCGCCAAAATGGCGAATATCAAGGCACATAAGACATGATTTAAAGTCTATGTATATAAGTCAGTGATTTTTATAATAATTTTTAAACTGTTTTATATTTTTTATTATAGCCTTGACCTGTCTATGAGATTGTAAAGATGGTATTAAATCTCTATAAAGCTTCGAGTCAACATACCTTAGATTGTCATCGATTTCAGTAAGAATAGGTTTGGGCTTGATGGTGACTCTGTTAACATCCTCGTGCAGACCCTCCAGCAAGTAACGAAGGAACTCCTAGAAATAAAAAAAAAATTAAAACTATTGAATAGAAATCTGGAAAATATACATGGTTTAGACTCAGCCATTACTGAGTTATTTTTTTGAACAATTCACCAGTTATTTGATAGTTTTTTTTTGGATCATCTGGCTGTACAGTCGACTTACCGTGAGTTTCTAAAGCCGAAGTTTTTTGTACAGAGATTTAGGTCTTAGAAACCCACCGTGAATGAATCAGATAGACATTGTAACGGTTTGTACCTGTGCGTCTTGTTGGCTGTACCCCATGAAGCGTGGGGCGAAGCGCTGCACCTGAGACTTGAGGCTGGTGGTATTCACCACCGCGTCACGCTCCCCGCTGCGCCACAACTCCTTTATAACGCTTGCGAACGCTGCACAAACACGCATCAAATAAATACAGCAAGACTAACCGTGGGTTTCTAAGACTAAATCTGTATAAAACATATCATCGTTCCTATCAATATCTTTGACAACACAGAGATAATAATATGTTTTAAACGACGATCTTCGACTCACAAACCCACGGTAATAGATCGAATATACATGTCATAATCGAATTATTAAGTTTTTATGTAAAAATTTCGTGTTTATACCCACTGTATCGCTCATAACACCCAAGCCTCAGCGACTCGCGATATCCACGCGTTACCAACGAGGGAATGCCGCGAGATTAACATTCGAGAAATTAAAAAAAAAACATTGTGTCAACACGTGGACACCGCGGACATAACTCGTATAAACAAGCGATTACATCATTAGTTCCAGATAAAGTTCACATAAACTCAAAGAATTTGAGACAATTCTTGATTTTTGATAACTCTTGATGAAAACCCGTCTTTTTACAAGTACCTATTCTCAAGTCTTTTTTTGTTATCGGGTGCAAGTCTTAACAAAGACACACTGCTTCTAAGGGAAAGCAAGGTTATGTGTTTTTACCCACTAAAACAACCTCGATGGTCATCCTTAGTGCCACACCGGGATCACGAGTACTATATAGCCCAGCACTAGACATCAACAAGGGTCTATATTCTTGCATTTACTTACCCTTGATGAGCGCGCCCTTCATGCACGACAGCGTAGTGTTAATCTCCTGTCCGTGCTTGTCCTCTGACACGTATTCGAGCAGCGGCCGCGTGTTTGACAGACACTGCAGCACGCTGTTCATGAAGCACGTGTTACCGATGTTGCGCAGACCGTTCAGACCTACGACATTCATAATAAATAGAAATGGATGGATGTTGATACCTCTGATGGCGATTTCCCTAAATAATTATTTTAGAAAATACACAAAAAGTTTTTTTTTAATTTTCTTATATGTCTTGTACCAATCCAAGCAAGCTCTAGGCTTTTAGTAGGATATGTATGACAGTAGTTGAATGGCGGCATTACAACTCTCATTCACGCGATCAGAATTCCGTAACCTTAACCATTAGGCTGTTGGCGCTCTTGAGTTAATTCTACTTTCCGATCTACTTAAAAATTCACTTATAAACAATTAATTCATTGATTTATATTATTGTTCACAAATGAGCACTCACCGCTGGTATGGCTGGCCTGACGCTCAGTCTTCGGCTCGGCCGAATCAGAGCGCTCGCTGCTGCGCCGGAGCCCACTAGGCCCGCTCTTGCCGCCGGCCAATTCCTGAGCAACACTCACAATGAGCAACACTCACATTGAGCAACGCTCAGTTCACTAAACAAACCTAACGAGTATGCTGCACATATATTCAGAATTCAGACTTCGATATTCTAATGAGGGAATTTTGTAAAATATATCGATCCCTCTCACTCTTTTTGAAAACAACTGAGAAAACAATATGTTTGCCTTAAGTAATTCTGGCCCAGCCCAATACATAGTAACAATATACCTAAACCTTTTATAGTAAGCAACTTTTACCTTATTATCCGTTTAGTTTTTCCAAATCATCAATGTAAGCAAATATCAGTTGCCATGGTAACGACAAATTGATAATTCACGATGGTTTTACATAGCCATCGTTAATTCAATATTAAAAACATATTTGTCTGGTCTGTTGCAGCATACTCATTCAAATAACATTTATCATGTGTTTTCACACAATAGACCGTTGTAAACAAATTACAACTCTATAGAATATATTTATAGAGTTGAAAAACAAATTCACGTAAACGATTTGAGGTAGATCCAAAGTCTGTATACACAAACTATAAAGTTTGGGGGCGTCCATAAATTACGTTAGGTTTTTTTAAAGTTTCTGCCCCTCCCTCTGGTGAGATGACGTGAGATTTTATTCAACCCCCTCCCCCAATCTCACGTGAGATTTTTCAAAATGTGACTTTCTTATGTAAACGCGTTGGATTGTTATTGTAAAAAGAAAAAAAAAATGCTTCGTGCTTTTGCTTTTTGTTGCTTCAAGAAAAAAAAATGCGTGATATTTGCCGAGACACCCTTCCCCCCTTTAAACACCTCACGTAATTTATAGACCTTACGAGGAAAATTACAATTATTAAATAAAAAATATCTATCAATAGAATAAGATAAAGATATAAACAGATTTGAATTTTTATTATCTGCACAAAATTGTTTAAAGATTTTAAAAACAGCTATAATGGATCTTCCTCAATTTTTTTATAAAATAATCCATCCAGAATCACATAAACCAAAACTACAACCCATAGAACAATATAATGTTTAAAAGATAAATCTATTTAAACTACGTGTGCTATGGTTACTCTAAGTTAAATAAAAATTAAAAAATGAAAAAAAAAATCGATCTTCTAATTATTGATTTAAAGACTAAACTTGTTATTATGTTAAAACAAAAAAATAGATTTAAAAGCAAAACAAAATACATAAAACAACATGCAAAATATACAAAAACACATATACAAACATTTATAATATAATAAGTTATTGGCTCTCATAAATTGTAATTTTTTACACATCTTTGCCGAAGAAACTTGAAAAAAAAAATTTTATCAAATTTTTTTTTTTCATTTTTTTTTCCAAATAACCCACCTGAAATTCTTATGCAAGTCTAGACTTTAGGAATACGTAACATATCATGCACAATTTTTTTCTTATATTTGAACTCAAATGTCAGGATTTCAAAGAATCAATCCAAGTAAAGCGCAACGCACACCAAACGAACGGACAGCAAATATTTTTCACGTTTAAATGGCGATTCACTCACTGTCGGACTTTTAAACAAAATTTCCAAAAAATAATTTTACGTAATTTGAAAATGTAACGACAGCAAATTCGTCTTGTCAAAATGTGATTATTAAAATAAAGTTAGTTGGTAATTTCTCTATATTTCAGAACCTCTCCATACTTATTTAGAATTTGGAAGCATTTAGTTACAATGTGGGAATCCTCATTTTTGTACAACACTTGAACAGTGAGGGGTTTTGAGCGGGGGATACCATTCGGGTCGGCGTCACCGCGGCAAGAGGCGGGTGCGGGGGGCGCCACGGTCGCTCGCCCGCGCGCCTAGCGACGCCGCCACGTTCTAGTGTGCGTCGACCATTATATTTGAAAACAATTACTTTGATAAACAAGTATATAAATAATATATAATAAAAATCTTGGCGACTTATTAAATTAAATATAGGATACTACTAAAGCAATACACAAATCCTTTTTATTCTATTTCAAATGAGGGGGTTTCAGTCAATTGATTATTAAAAAAAAAGAAAAAATAATTTATTACCGAATTAAAGTAAGTTTAACAGAACGATTACCATAAGTTTTGATTACCTTACTTCTTCAAAATCAAGAACAGAAATAATATGTTTTTGTACAGGTCTATCGCCAGTGGAAACACACGGCTATCATGATATAAGATCGGGAATATTTATGCTAGACTTGAATGTAAAAATCGTTATTTATAAATAAATGTTGGCAGCCGTAGAATCAAAGGGGGTGTACACCCCCACCCCCATATATAGACCAATGACCTTGTTATAGTCTAAGTATGGCTAGATCTAGACATCAAAGCATCGCAAATAGTGAAGGGCATTAAAAATATCTCTAATGCAGCAATGGATTCGACGATACAGGGTGATTAAGTTCCCCATTCTTCATGTTAACATCTCTAGCGCCTCAATAATTTCCACAAATTAACTACAGGATGTTTAAATTATCTTCAACAAAAAATCTTAACTAACAGTTTTAGTAAACTGAAACCCCCTGTATCAGTATTCTACCAAAAGATGTACAACTAACAACATATATACGAAAAGTTTGACAAGGACCTGATAAGTATTGAGGGCATAGCTCCGGCCGGCCGGGGGCATGCGCGGCTCGAAGTACCGACAGCCACACCTCATTGCCGAGGGCGGCCAACAGGCTGGTCGTAACGCATGCCAGGATCACCAGCTCGTAGTATGTCAGCATAAACTAGCGCACCAAGACCCCTCCCACCTAGTCTCACTCTACTACAGACGGGTCACGATAAACTGATCAAAGTCCCGTATCTATAGTGGATACGTCCAATGTTGGACGTCGTATAAGCTTGTATGAATCACTTGAAATGTTTTTGATAACTTTTTATGCAAACAAACCACATGTAAATTCCTTTTATATCATCAAAGATAAATTACCAAAATGTCTTTCCTCTCAAATAACACAAAGGTATTCATTTGATTTTTATTTTATATTTTATTAACTAATATTTTTAAGCACAATTTATAGTCGTTTCCTATTTCTTGATGTGTTTTTTTTCTTTATTTTTTCGTTACTATTTTATAGTTAAGATGGCCATTTAGTTACGTCAAGATAAGATATTTTTTACTATCAACTACAGAAATATGATAACTTTTACTTTATTCTTTATCTATCTTGTTACTGATGACTAGTTATTGATTAAAGGTTTGGCTCGGTCTGAATAGATAACAGTAACAAATAAGAGCTCGGAAAAGTTGCGATCGCGTGTAGCCAAAATGTCGGTAAAAAAAAACTTTAAAAAACTAAAATTTTTGTCATTTATTTTTGCAAAAATTTTGTAACTAATATTTGTAAAGACAATCAGAGTATTTTTTTTTAAATTGTTGATCGTATTATAAAAAACTAAAGTACGAATACTTTGCTTATATTTATTCAAATTATATTTTAATTATGTAGTAATAAGAATTCAGACAAAACAATTATTATCTAATGTTATTTCTGATAACGATTACAGGAAAATTTAGCAGCAAACGTTAAACTTTGACGATGGCCATCACACGTTATATAACTTTATCACATTTTACATCACAACACAAAAAACTTCGAAAAACTTGGATTTAAAAAGAAATACGTTCAAACAACAATGATTCTTATTACAATCACAATAAGATTTCACTTTCAATTTCCTTTAGCTCTTGGCAATGTCACCGCACTGATATATTTAACAATCGAGCGTGCAAGGTCATATTAGTGAAATTAAAAAAAAAACACTTTGAATATAAAACTCTAACACACTCGATGCGTGGAAAGAAGCTGGCGAGATGAAAAAAAACTGACATTGACATAAAAATTAGCGCGAAACTGCGAAAAAATGGCGACCGAGTTAAGTAATTCCCGCGGAGAAGAGCATTTCGCGCGCTCGTGACGTCACGTGGCTGCCATCGCGAGGGCGGGACGCGCACTGGGCGCCATCGGAGTTGCTTAGCCAAAAACCCTATTGCCAAATTTCACAATCAAGACTATACGATTATCTTGAAGTAGCCGTGTATACATTATTTATCTAAAACGTACTCGTAGTTATCGATGGCCGGTAGTCAGGCGACGTGAGACTTCTTTTAACGTTATCTGAATAACATTTTCAAGAACAAACTCATTCATCAAGGTTACTGTAATAGTTTGCTTAATTTTATAAAATGAACACATAACAAGACATATTTGTAGCGGTGTTATCGCGGTTAATTCTCAGAAAGTATGTAAAACCTTCTTAGGTCCAGAAAATGATATAAAAACATAAAAAAGGCACCTCGCCTTGAGATATTAAAGCGAGGATTTGGTGGCTTCTTGACAGCGTTGCTCTGATAAGCTGTTGCAATTTAGTTTTACTTTTTCCCACCGGGTCAAATCATTTTGTCTTGTCTATGAGTGTGTGTACCTAACTCCTTGTATAGTAAAACCTAGAGTAATTTTAACTAATTTTCCGACAGAACTAATTATGACCTCTAACCGAGGCAGATAGGAAAAACCTAAATAACCTAGGACTATGTCAGCATTGCCTTCTAGCCATACTTGCGTCTATTAAGGATATTACGTACTATCGCCCGCGACTTCGTCCGCGCGTTATTAAAAAAACATAGTAGCCTATGTATTCTGCCAGACTATGTTCAGCCGTTCTCGAGATACCTTCAAACATCCATCCATCTAAACATTCGCATTTATAATATTAGTAAGAAATAAGATAAGATTCTCTACATCTTTACTGGTTGAAAATTAACAAATTGTACAGCATTTTAGAGCTATAATATTTTTGAGATAATCTGGATCAAGATAATCGTTGACTCGTTACCGAATGCTATATATGTCAATGTATATGTAAGGTCAGGGCTGCTACAACAACAGTGATCTGATATATATCAACAAGTCAGACCAACAAGGCGTTTGTTTCCAAATATGGCCGCGTATTTATGAAGTCGGTCCTTGACTCAGTCGCCGTTTTATCTACCTATTATAACACTAAATAACGTCAGCTCCTTTACACGATTATAAAAACAAACTCACCTAAAATTAATTAACAATCAAAAAGCACATAAATATTCGTTTCAAAATTAACTTGCAAAATTATCAAAAATATTTAACTGATCGGAATTTGACAAAGATGAAATTTTCGAAATTTAATACAAACTGCCAGTGTCAGACGGTGTATTGGTTCGAAAAAGTTTTTAATGTTTTATTATTCGAGACTATTGGGAATAAATATCTTAAACAGACTTTTTAATTTTAAGTAATTTATATTTTAACAAGTATTAGAAAATAAACCACTCGCAGGCAACTTAAAATTTTGAACTCCGATGTGCTTATACACGTAAAACGGAAAACGAAACGTCAAAAAAAGGCGCGCGTTATTTAGCAAAATGGCGACACTTTAAAATTGTTTCGAGAAAACGTGGTATAGCGCCGTGATAATTTCCCGCCTAGTTTTATTTCTGGACGTTACATTTCGCGCTGTTATATTAATAGTTTGTGATTTTCTATCAAAAGGAGGACACGAGACGGCAGTGTAGACGAACATTGTACAAATGTTCATATTGTTTGGAATTTATCGATCTTATTTGACTAAATCGAAACAGATTCCTGAACTGGTACAAAAAAAAAGTTTCAATTGTTCGCTTGATGATTTGGTTAATACTTTTCTTCATACAAACATTGTATTTATGATATTTATCCACTCATTTAAAAAAAGATAGGATTCCTTCGGTTAACTCATCAAACAAGCAATCCAGTTAAGGCTGGCACGCTGACCGAAGAACCATGCGGTAATTGAATTTATAATAAGAACGACAGATCAAATCTAGATGACCTGAGATACGACTGAAACATCCGCACACAAACACGGGGACGTACGCACACAAATAAATGACCCGAATAGCAAAATGCCAACGAACCCGCAGATTATTTTTATAAACTCAAACTAAAAGGTATTCGGCAATTCACTTACGCATTATTTAAGGTAATTGATACGAAATATTTCTTACTATAATTATAAAGGGTAGAGCTATCGCTCTTTTATACCCATTGGGTGATAACCCAATGGGTATAAAATCGACCCAAGACATACCCGTTTGGATGTTTGTTACCAGGTAACTCCCTAATTATTGCTAAGATATAGTTTTTGGCTGACTAAAATTATATGGAAATCGACTCAATTATTCCCTCGAATGACTAATCAGACATTTTTGCGAAAACTTATTACGATTTTTTACAAATCTAAAAAGTTTTAAAAATTTATTTAATTTTCTAAGTCAGTATTCGAGGATAGAAAATAGGTAATGATGTTTTTATTATGAGATTCGATCTTAAATTTCGTGATGCTAATAGAGCCAATAACTTACAGATTATAACTTTTTTTGTGGATATAAAGTGCATTCAGGAAATATTGTGTTGCATATTAAAATTGTACTTTGATGGCACATATATATTTTCCTAAATACATTTATTCCCATTTATAAAAATGATTACTTACCGCTTTAATATCTTCGTAGTCCTTTATATCCAGGATTCGTCTTCTAGAAGACGGTGTTTCTGGACTGGAGTCTTCCGTGGGCTCGCTGATGGTACTCTCTGTGCTCGTTTCCATTGACTTCACACCGTCTTCTGGTTCCTTCTCGTCTACTTCCTTCTCGGATCGTTTCTTCAAATAATTCTCGTGTTCAAAGGTTTTGTTCTCAAAACCTGTGCCACTTGGAGATTCTACTTCCTCTAAAGCCAAACGGTCTTCAAGCTCAGAATCAATATATTTCAGATTGACTTTACTTTTCTTAGTTTCCGGTTTGATTGTTAATTCAGCTTGAGTTAATTCATCGTTAATATTGTTTAAATCGATTTGTTTCGATATTTTAGGTGTGGAAGTCCCTGAAGCTATAGGTTGTGATATTTGTATGTATGATGCAAAGTTCGAAGTGTGCTTTGGTGCTTTTACTTGTTTTTCTATATCGTTCTTTAGAGATTCTTTAACTTTAACTTCAGGACTACATCTAGCTAGCTTTTTACGTTCTATATCACCATTCGATACTTGTATCACAGTTGATTTTTCTAATATCTTTCCAATAGGATTGTTAGGATCTAATTGACATTTGATACTAGCTAATCTTTCCGAAGGTAATTTTGCCGTGAATGAAATTGACATATTGGTATTGTCGATCTTAGGTTTAGCGAGTGATACAGGCTCCGATATAGTTTTGCTAATTGAAAGATCAGAGTTTGAATTGGACCTGGAACTGGATGATCCAATTTCCCACCTATGACTTAATCCGTTCTTTTCGACGTATGGCAAATGGACGGGTACAGGCTGGTCTTCCTTGGATACAGCCTTAGTATAGCCACTGGAACCGTTTTCACATTCCTTTAACTGGCTCAGATATTGTTCTACAGAAGTTTTAGCAGATAATCTTGAATCATTGGTGGGTAATTTGGTGACCGTCATCTTGGGATCGAATCGCCTGCGAATCTCGGAGACGGTTGGTACTTCGTTTCCATTACTGTCCCTGATGCCGTTGGAGATGGAATTCCTTTTGCTGTACCCTTGTGTCGGCGAGCTTTCCTTATACGATCTTCTTCCTTCGGGTTTCTGGCGTTGTTGAAATTAACATTTTATTCGCATGGACTTCATAATGATGGATATTAAATATATATTTAGTTAACAACAAAATGAAGTCCATAAAAATAATATACTGGCATATTTATATAAAATAAATGACTAAATGCGCATTGTGATCGTGTGTGTTAGTTCCAACATGCACGAATGACAAACAAAATTGCTATTGCGAAATGAACTTTAAACTACAGATATAAGGTTTGCATTGTGTTATCGTAAGAATTTCAGTCGGTATACAGTGAGGCAATTGAAAGCTGAAGAGATAAACATGGCTTTCTTAGTGCGGTACTTGTTAATGAACGGACACACACACACGCGCACACGACGTTGTCTGCCTGCGAAATATTGATAAGAAAATATATCTACACAAATATATCAGTTTTAAGTTAAAAAAAAGATAAAAATTTACTATAAAATTCAATTAAAAAATTGTGTTAGAGTTTGTACTTAGATTTATCATAGTTATAATCTATATTAATCAATAAACATTTTTTGAAATTTTTTTCAACAAAACTTAATTTTTAAAAATTTTTTTCAACAAAAATTTAATTTTTTTCAATTTTTTTCAACAAAAATTTAATTTTTTGAATTTTTTTCAACAAAAATTTAAAAAATTATAATTTTTATATAAGTTAGGTTAATCAGATAGATATTTCATAGAAAGAAATATATATAGGCAGTGGAAGCCCACGTTAAATCTTGTTTGTGAAATATTTCACCTACAAAAGCTTTCTACGCAAATAACTTGTGCTTGCCAAGAACATTGGGTGATGTAAAGTGGAACAGTTGACCTCATTCGATATAAAATTATTTCAATTAATTAATTTAACTAAAAATCAGTGTAGCTATAACTGACAGTCATATGATGGTTACTAAATATACTCTCTTAGTAAACACTTAACATCTCTTAGTACCAATGCAGGAAAAGCAGGGACGGACTCACCATTTTTACATAGGTAAATTCAAAAGGAAATTTTTCCTGTATTATCTAGTCTGATCGAGTCTATGCATCATCATCAGCTCACTATACGTCCCCACCGAGGGGCTCAGAGCCTACTCTAAGTTAAGGGTGATTAGGCCATAGTCAATCACGCTGGACAAGTGCGGGTTGGTTGACTTTACACATATCTTTGAATTTCTTCTTAAATATGTGCAGGTTGCATCACGATGTTGTCCTTCACCGTAAGAACGTGGGATAAATTGTACATATGTAAATCGGAAATCTAAAAACACATTGGTACATGGCAGGATTTGAACCCAGGACCTGCAGATTGCAAGTCAATTGCTTGACCACTGAGCCACCGACACTCCAGGTCTATGCGAACACGCATAAATATTTTATTAAATATATTAAGCCGTTGACCTATGCTCATAATACCGTAAAGTATCTCTCTATTTTTTTTAAAACTGTCTAGTTGTAAATTAAAATTAAAAGTGAACACACAAATACAATTGTTCCAGCAATTATAACGTTTAGGATTCGAACAAAAAAGCAAAAGTTTTTCGGTCGTTTGTTTTAAAAGTAAAAGTAGAATAATTTTAAGCTTATGTTAATTATTTTTAAGTTAATGTTTACTTCCATTTTAGGTCGTCATAAAATTATTTAAACTTAGTAATGAGAACATAATCTTTGTTAAGTGTTTTGAACCTTATCTTTAAAGGAATACGGTTTACTTTTCCCTAAGTAAAGTAGGCTTCTCATATAAAGGGATTTACTATTAGGAAGAAAATCCGACACTGCGCCGGTGTACTGGTACAGCACTAGCCTTACTAAAATTGCGACGTTTATGTCCCCTCACAAATCAATCTGGCACTTAACTTTGTAACAAATCGCGTCATTCGCGCCAAAGGATTCTTACTAATATCTAAAAGTACTTAGGGAACATACCCATACTACGTGACCTATTTTTTTTAGTTTTTTTTAAGACTGCATGCATACTTAAATTACTAGTGAATTATGTATTATGAAAAAGAACAACTAATGACTGCGTGACAAAAACCTGAGCCACCCCACCCTCCTGTGACTGACCGTAGTATTTAAAGACCCCCCCCCCTAAACAGGTCACGTAGTATGGGTACGTTCCCTTAGGACAAGACTAGGTGTATCAAAATATTTTTTATTATTATTATTCATAAGAAAATACGAATACAAGGTCTTTAGCGTTATTCCTTTATACACAGTTGGTAAGCTCTTACATAAGTAAACGTTAGTACATATGTAGATATAGTAGGCATAATAGTCTATTTATACTGAGTCCTGTAAATGGCTTCCGAAGTGACGATTATTGAATCTACTGCGTAGTACACAATGATATAACATTTACTATGATATAGTTTGCTTAAGGCCTATGACAATAATTGTTTATTAAAATAAAATACTATTTATTTATAAAAAGTTACCGACTGTATAATCGCATTCACGTGTTGATTACGAATCGTATAACATCTCAAACGTCAAAATTAGTTACGTAGTAAAGCTACAGGATGTCACATGCTTGAAGACCCGTATAAATAAAACAATTCGTCGTTTAAAAAGATTACTTTAGTTATCTTGCACTTATGTTCCTTTCAAAATAATTAAAACTAATGCTATTATATTAAAATTATTTAAAAACATACGAGCGAAAACAGTAGTTTTTGCCTTGCGTTTTTTTTAACTAAAAACCTTTTTTTTTTGTCGGTCTGTACGCAAATTCCGGGTTCCGGGTAATCTTCTAAACTTCTGGATCAAATTTTACGGTAAGCTAATGTTATTAGTAACCTAGGTTACTTATTTTAACTTTTTTAATTATTCTGCGCTAACCAGGTCATGGTCGACCGATGGTTGAAAAAAACACCATCAAATAATAAAAGTACCAAACAACCAAGATAAATATAACTGACGGTGTTTTTCAACTGTAAATAACTCGTTAACCGTTAGTTTCCATTGACGACAAACTTTTACAAAAAAAACATATTGCCGTCTCTATTGCTCCTTTCTCTGTTCTTACAGAGAATGTGTAGGACATGATTTTTTTTTTAATAAAAATATTAGCAGGATTTTGGTAAATTTACTAAAAAAATTTGTACCATTCCAACTAAGCTCAAGGCTTGTACTAGGACATGGTTTACGACAATAGTCGAATGTCAGGATTCGAACCCTCGACCTCTTGATCGGATATCCGTATCCTTAACCATTAGGCTATTGGCGCTTTAATTATAAGAAGTGTTCCATAAAAATTATATTATTAATGAATCTATTCAATTTTTGTTTACATTTCGCAGACATCCAACGTAAATACTATACATTTAAATTTATAATTTTATCAATATTTACCTCAGTAATAGTTGCAGCAGTTGAATTCCTTGCTCTTCGCACTGCCCTATACGAATCCGGTGCTGGTGGTCGTCCGATATCATTTGATATAGATTTGGACCTTGCAATCTCTCCATAATTACTTTGATTTTGTTGCTGTTGCTGTTGAATTCTCTGAGTTAAAGGGATATAATTAGCTGGAGAGTATTTATTATATAACTCAGCGGTTGACATCGCTAGAGCTGCGGAACTTATGAAATTCCTCTTTGAATTTCTAGAAGCATCCGCCTTACTGCTTTCACTGCGTGTTGTTGATATATCTCTAGATCTGGATTCACTTCTATCCGTTCTATATCTGGATGATATCCCGCTGTCAGAATCTGTGACACTGGGGGCTCGGGAGCTACGGGAATACTCGACTAAGGAGGTCTTTCTCTCTGTCTTTCCATCGACATCGGAGTATCTTGATTTGTATTCTGTTGTTCTATCTCCATAGGAGCTTCTTAGTGTTGATGTGACATATGTTCCACTGGTAGACCTGTAGTATGGCTTGTCTAGGCTAGAAGATGAGGTCAATGTGGACCGGTACGAGCCAGTCAGGTTGGAAGAGGTGGATGTATACCGTGATGGTGAGACAACAGGCATCTTGGACGTATTTTTGACTTAGCCTATGCAATTATCACATAGTTTGCTTAGATTAATTTTGAATTAATAGATAGTGGGTTTGATCCTCGTTGGTGGTCGCTTTCTTTGCATCTTTAGAACACACCTGCAACAAATTTGAGGTTATTAATTTGAAAATTTGACTTAACAACATTAAATTTAAGGAATTGAATACAAATTTTATTAACTAAATTAGTATTTGAAAGTAAGAAATGGCTACCACATCTTAACCCTGGTTTAATGAGATCATTTTGTGACAAAAAGGATTTTTTTTTAAACGGAAGGGTCAAAGAAGCAGTGGTTACACCAATGTGATCAACAACATAGACATCTGCAACACCAGAGGAACTACAGATGCGTATTTTAACATTGTTTCTCACATACTCAATTCTTCTACATCCAGAATTTTAGTACAAAGAATTCAAAAAAATTACTTTTATAAGTTAAAAAAACTTCTTTAACAAAGCATTTATGGAATTTGTCATAACATTTATGCTATAAATAGCAAATGAACATTTTGTTTTTAATTTTAAAAATGTTAACAACCAACTCATATATTTAAATAAACATAGTTATTATAAGATTGATGAGTGTTTCTTAACTGAATGTATAAAATAAGTAACTGTCGCCCGTGACTCTGTCTGTTCGGAATTAAAAATAAACTTAATAAGTAACATATCAGGTTATGTTCTACATCTATTCTAAAATTCACCGAGATCAGCAATTCTGGAGATACCTTAACATCCATCTATCTGAACATTCGCATTTATAATATTAGTAAGAGCATTAAGAGTTGTCACCGCTGAAACATCTATACAAAACAATATTGTTGTCTCGGGTTTATTAAACAGAATAACAGAGATATACATCTTTTTATTCTTATACCGGTAATGGAAATTTAAATTAAATCAATTGGTTACTATGTTATATTTGATTTCAATTAGACATGTTTTATTACTTATGATTAACTTTATATTTGTTTTTATCAAATAATTTAAAATCAATAATTAACTACTCATATTTTAGATATGAAACAAATATTTTGAACATTGTTATAGAGTTGTTTTAAATATGTTACTCTAATCTATACATCACTTATTTGAGTAAATTTTGCTTGTTTTTAAAAACTTAAAACATGTATACATAGCTTATACTTATTTTCGTACTGGAAATTAAACAAATTATATGACGTTAATTAACAAGTAAATGAAGCTGTAAATTGGTAATAATATTTGATTTATACAGTATTTGGCATTCACACACACACACACACACAATGAACTAAAATGTTCACATTTGGAGTAATTTCGAAATAATGAGCAATCACATAACATTACACAAAAGAATTTTCTGGGCTGATTACCATGGGCCATACATTACTATGTCAAGGTCACCGTTTAATTCCATTGAATTGATGCTGTTCAGACTTATATCAGATATTTAAGTATCACGTAGTTATTATTTATCATATATCCACATGAGAACATAGCGATTGAAATTTGATATGTATCATAGTTAGATGGTACAATACAAGGAAATTCAAGGCCATATCACTTCGAAGCATACAGACACCGCACAATATTAATTGAACACTTTCACACCACTCACCCGATGCGGAGTCCGCAAAATCACCATATACACACCGAAAATACGTTTCTTGTGCTAAAAATAGCGTATCCAAAAGCGTTTTTGCATGACACACAAAATTTGACAGAATTCTCCGCACAGTAATTTAATTTGCCCTCGGATCACGTGAAACGCGTCGCAATACTAATCGATTAATAATCACGGAATATTATGCGGGATACTCACGAAATAATAGGATCGCAGTAACCAAAGCAACTGGATAATAATCCCTCGCTCTTCAAAATTATATTTCTCGCCTTGATCTTTATATATAATCACCTCCGTTGCACATATACTTTTATATCACTTTATTATTATTTTTTTAAACAATAAAATATATACGATGTTCGTCGTGCAATATTTTTCTTGAGCCCATGTAATTTTAGATGTGCTATGGCTCCATGGATCCATTCGAGTGACGTCACTTGAATTGTTGGTGTGGCAATCCTATTTTTATGGCACTTCCGTATTAAATATATGGAGTATTCTAATCCTTTTTTCAATTGAGTTAAAGCTTATATTACAAGCTATGACAGTGAAGGAGCCTCTGCGTCAGTGTTGCCACACGACAAAAAGTTGTTTTTATCTTCAGTCAGCTGTTCGAGGTACATTTCAATATACGTGCAAATTAATTTAAATAAGAAACACATGCTATATATATTAATTTTGCTTATTATTCTTAATATGTTTGTAGTTATTTTTAATTATTTGCTATTACCATTGTCGCTTTTTGGTATAAAGAATTGTTTCTATTTGTTAAGAGATGGCATGTTTGTGATTGAGTAAAATTCTACCCTTTCACTAATAGATGGCGCTGGGAGTTTAAAAGTTATTATTATTATTATTATCAATCTGAAAATCTAAAACAAAGGTGGTACAACAACTACGATTATGTTAATTAATTATATAGTATCGTAGTACATAAGCTTAATATATAGTTTTTAATTTTATTATTACTCTCTGCTTTCAGTAAGACGTTGCTTCAGAAGACTTCCTCAAGATTAATCTGGTTCAGAACAGTACTAGCAGCAGGGGACGAGTTTTTTTACTAATAGGAACAAAATTTCCCATTGGGTTCGATCGAACCAACGGGAAACATACAAAGTAATACTAATATGATGTATTGATGACAGAGATATTGTGTATTACTTATATTGTAAGTTACTGGCTAACTAATTTCGTTTGCTACTTTGTAACCGTTTGCACCGTCACCCACTTACTATGGGTGTCAAATTTCGTAAAAAAAAATGTAAAAAATCGATAACCCCAATCGGACTTACACCAGGTGCTTGGATAAAAATTGCAAAAAAGGAGTATTCCGCGACAAAAGCAATATCACCCTTGCAAGCGCCTTTTGTTCGAAAGCGCATTTTTTGTTATAAAATAACGCTTTTTACGTTAATTCCCAACTAGATATTGTATTTGGCCACTCAAATGTGTCGTTCTTTTTTTTAATTTACTCTTTCACGTATGGGTTAATACGAAGGGTGTTTTACTCTTTTGGTTAAAAAAGTATTATACTTTTGTAACGGTTTTTTAATGCATTCGCTAGTCAACAATATTTAAGGGTACAGTTTTCAATTATTTATACATTTTCTAAAAGAGAAAAGTTGCATATATGGGCCATGTCTTGCGACACGAAAAATATGAACTTCTTCAACTCATTATGATGGGCAAAATCGCAGGCAGAAGACGAGTTGGAAGGAGGAGAAAGTCATGGCTAAGAAACATCCGGGAATGGACCAATATTGCCAGCGTTGAACAACTTTTTCGCTTGGCATAGGACAGGAAAGGGTTCGCTGAGCTGACGGCCAACCTCCAGTAATGGAGAGGCATTGGAAGAAGAAAATATCGAAATAGTCTGTTTATTTGTGATTAAAAGGTGCTAAAGCATGTGCGTCAATTTGTAGCAATTTCCAATAACTCTTATGTAGTCTATCGGTAGTTATTTTTTTTAATTTCAGACATATTTAAGTATTATGTATATTAGGTAAGTTGTTTGGAATTTAAGAAATGAAAAACGTTTCCGTCTTGAAATTATTTATTTCATCAATACATTTCATCATCATCATCATCAGTCTATATTTGTCCACTGCTGGACATAGACCTCTCCCATGGCACGCCACTGAGCACGATCCTCGGCCACTCTCATCCAGCTCAATACATTTAATGTTAGTATAATTTATATATTCATAATAATGAAGTCTTTTAGTAAATTAAAAGTGGTACGAGTCCACAAAAATATCTGTTGCATGGTCGTGACCCATCACGACAACACAGAAGAAAGTCGTTTTAAGTAATTTCAAGTTTCGTCTGATGAGTGTGTCAGAAGCTTAATTATAGTCATCTACTTATAATTAAGGGATGTATGGTAGATTATTTGGCAGAGGAGGGAAATCAAAGAAAGGGGACATGTCATCTTTGTGTGCGTCTCCTTAAAGGTAGGCAAAACTGAAATGCGGTTGTTGTGGCAACGGTCACTACGCTATTTTGTCGAATTCAATTGTTCTCTTGGTCGTTTAACACCTTTTGTTATAAAAAAAGAAATAAATATGTACTTTTATCTTTATTTATAGAACTTTAAACAAGATTGATCCTAAGTGACTTAGTAACAACGGGAAACTGCTTTAGAAATTAATTAAATTAATATATCGAAACTTAATTTATAAAGACTGACGTAATATTGTACATACATCGTATTATTTAAATTTTATATCTTTTTTACATATCATTACTCCAATATACTAATTTTTATAATTAAAATTTATATAATCTGGAGCTGTTCTTTCTTCTTTTTTCTATGTCTTCCTTCGGTCGTTTCGCCGCCGGCCAGGAAAGTTAGCAGGCTATACAGTCTCCCCTAATAGTTGTAATGCAGTACTATACAACCTACTACCTCACCATGCCGGCGGCTTTGTCGCCCACACTTCTTCTCTTGTCTTCTCTCTTCATGTTAATTTATTAAAAAAATATTATACTAAATATATATAATTATATTATTCACAGCCAGTGATATTTTTTTACATTATTGTTTTTATAAAATAAATAAAATTGAATCGTCAATAGCCTAATGGTTATGGGTACGGATTTCCGATCATGTGGTCGGAGGTTAGAAGTCTGCAACTCGACTATTGTCGTAAACCATGTCCTAGCACAAGCCTAGAGCTTAGTCGCAAGAAATATTGGTAAATTTTACTAAAAAATTGAAATCTAATACAATTTATTTGACGATTGAGGATATCTTTTGATTTGTCTTCTTTACTGCAGTGTCATGGGGGATATTATGTCAAAAGAGAGTTTTTTTTTTATGATTATGAGTTACATATGACATTACAGTTTATTTGATTTAAATTTTAAAAAAAATCGACTTCATTAATTTCGTCTATTAGAGCCCCATAGGTCGTTTTTTAATTTGTTTTATTAAGAGTAGAGTACTGTACTTCCAGAATGTAGCCACATCAATTGTTATAAATTTTGGTGCAATTTTACAGTGACATAACCCAAATAAATATTTTAAATAGTGTTAAAAACGGTATTAGTACGTTTATGTAACTTATAGTTATGTATTTTTTAACCAAGTTATAATAATTTTGGATTGTCTAATAAAAAGGTATAGTAAATATCTTTCTTCTATTAATATGACTGTAAGGTAAAGAACTGTTTCTAATTTCTTTTTAGATATGGCTAAAGAAATTTATAAAAAGCGTAAAAAAAATATTAATCCCAAATTAAAATACATGAATCTAAAAAAAGGAACAAAAATAACAAAAAAAAAGGGGTGCACACTACAAACAATAAATATACGAAAAAAAAAAAAACGAAGAAGGCGACGATTTCCCGCCAAAACTGCGCCCGCGTATCACCAAACTTGTGTGAAGCCGCGCAAACTGCGAAATTCCTGCCACAGATTATCAAAAAAACGTTTTATACATAATATTCTATAATCTATAACCAAAAATATGTTGTAGAATTATTCTTAAACGTTGTTTTGACAGAGTGACAGATAGATCGCAAGATGGCGTCTCCGGAACGTCAAATGCGCACAAGTTCGGATCTACGGGTTCCAGTTGAGGGGGGCAAGGTGCTAAAAGGAAAAAATGATAAATCCAACAATATTAGAACCCACTAATATTGTAAAATGTATCACAACAAAGAAAAAGAAACAAAAATAACACAAAAGGTAACAAAATAAACAACTAAATATAATAAAAAACTAAGAGCTATTCTAATGACTATACTGCGAAATAGATAAGATGGATATATAAATAAAATATTAAATAGTCAATGAAAATTGAACACAGTACAGCCTAGTCAGATTAGGAACTGACAAAGAACCTAGTCGGTTAGCGACACAGACTTAAAAATGTGCTTTTCTAGAAATATAAAAGAATGGATAAATTTATTTAATACCTATACAAAGCTTCAGTATAAAATTCCTTCGTCCCCGACTATCAATAGCCATCTGTTAAATTCATCTGTGAAATAGTCAATATTTCTTTTATATCGCGTAAATTATCTTCATTCATTCCACACCACACTCAGAGAGTGCCGCACTCCAAATGTTACGACTCTTGGTTAAATGGTAATTTAGAGAATCCTTAAGTGTAGACTTAGTGTGAAAAATCCGCACAAAAGGACTGCTATGTAACCATTAAACGATGAGGTTGACGGTTTATCACTAAGATGTGCCCTAACAGATCACTTAAAGTCTCTAGGTGTGACAATGAATCTATTGCGTCCGCATTAAATACTAACCTGCTTCTTACTATGTCACCAGTTGGAGTTTCATATTTCAACTAAATGTATTCACGTCTGAAAAATCTAATTGAGATCATTATTTTTTTTTATCACAACTTATTATGGATTAAAGTACCAGCAATTGTCATCGTTATATTCCATCATTGCATTTATCTTTAAATATCCCTTTAAAATTGTTTCTTGCAGTTAAATCCACATCCTCGTCGCGATTATCTGTAAAGAAATGAAGAAATATAAGTATAGACTTAAAAGATTCTTTGGTAAGTAATTTCTAGATACCCCTGGCATTGAATCACGGCAATGCAATTAGTCTTTGATTTAAAGGTTATTTCCACTTAGCTAGGCTTTCATTATGCATCAGTGGAACGCCGCGATACAGTTAAAATGGCGCGGGGCTAGCAGCTAAGTGGAAATAGGCACTTACAACATCCGATCGCTGCCGAGATCGTGATTCATTTCTACAATGTTGCCAGTATTCTGCACAGAGCGTGGCTTTATTTTTTATAAAAAAGCATGCCAGTCTTATTCTCACGTTCTTCATTTAATTGTAAACCGTTAACAGATTAAAAATATATAGTAAAAAGTGAAATAATGTAAAAATTAAGGCAGGACAAAACTTGACAAAAGATATGGGGTGCTAAACAACGAACAAAAAATAAATAAGCCATGGATATACGTCTTGTATTGTCATAAGATTTATTGATTATTTCCTGTGTGTTTTTTTAATTCAACACCTCGGCATCATCTCTGACTTGACATACTTTACGCGGATAAAATGGTCCGGAACAAACAATTAGGGGTGAGAAATGTTCCCAGTAGTTCAAAGCTTTTTTTAAACGTAGAATGTCCGTATTTCAAATTAAAAAAATAACGTTCTTAATTTGAATAGGTGACGGAATACTAGAAATTGTTATGAAAAAAGAGCTGTCTGATTTTTTCGTCTAAATTAATAATTATGTAATTTTTCTATAAAACAATCCATAATCACATTTTAAAAATAAAAAGAAAAATTACAATGTAAACAATCATTACAATTAAAAAAAGAATTTTAACCTGTAGTTACAATAGCGTAAATCAAAGCAGGTGTACAACGGCGACTTCCTTGGCGCGAAAATTAAAAAAAAGAGAATAAAAATGGCGGCACAGTGCGTGAGAAACACGGCAGATGGCGCTCGATCCGCCATGTTTACCGGAATCTGATGAAAAAGCCGTAAAAAGTGTGCACAATGGATGCTATTGCTAAAAAACTGACGCGTTATTATTTACGCGCTTTTATTCGCAAATATTAGTAGGGATTACGTTTTTTTATGATAACTTAGTAACGGTACATTGTCTTGTAAGGATCGTTTTTCTTTATTGCTAAAGAAAATATAATAAATCAAAGATATATTTAATTACGCATAGATAATTTTGTATCAATTAATATTCTTAGTTCTGATGTCAGGATAACGACAATCTGTGTCAAATATAAAAAAAATTCACTAAGCCGTTTAGGAAATACAATAAAAAAAATATTTTCAAACATTTGCATATATTAGTAAGAAGTAAGCGAGATTTGAACAAATGCCTTTGTTATTTTTATAAATCGAACTTTAAACCTATCCATTTAACATATGTCTGGTCCGTCTGGTCTGTCACTATGTCTGGTCACTTTTATATCACCTTTTTATAAAAGAAATAAATAATTCTGTGAATCAAATTATTAGTAAAGAAAGGTTCTATGAATAGTTGAAATAACGAGCAGGTGAACCGTGGGGGGTGTCTAGAAAGTGTCTAGACGGTTGGGGGGTGCACCCACGGCCCGACGCCGGGGTGTCGCGGGACGTAGGCGGAGGGAGAGCGGCTAGACATCACATTGACTGTTGCTATGCGCCCACCACTATACTTGACTCGTCTGGGAATTAAAATTGCAATTTCATCTAACCTTTGTCTTTGGTATAGATAAAATTATATTACGATAGACAAAATAGAGAATTAAAGAGAGATTCTATCAAAGAGTTTAATATACTTTTTTATTTCGTCTATAGTCGTGTTAAATAAGTTTGTTAGTCTGTTATAGACAAAAGTACGTAAACAAATAAATTAATATTTTATTATACGTTTAACCAATTACATTAAATTGCATGGAGACGCGAACTGCACTTGGTCGTTATCTTAATTGACAGAACGACATTTAAAGATAAAGTCGTCCTTCTATCTTCTCTATAAATAGTATAAATTGTTTTTGTTAAGACGCAACTGGAATGAAGCTTTAAAGTGAGTTTCCACTGACGAAATACTTGTTATAGAACTTATTTTTAATCTTTTTAAAAACACCAATAAGTATATGCTTTAATTGCAATGTTTGGGCAGAGAAAGTTCACATTGAGTATTTAGTTGATCGATCTTTTAGTCTGTTTAAGAAGTTTGAATAGCGCCAGTGATCGAGAAATTGAGGAGTAAAAGATTAGCGTGGTTTGGACATGTTAAGCGGGTGATGATGATATAAGCAAAAAAGTAAAGTAATGTGGATGGCTACAAAGGTAGAGTAAGACCAAAAAAAGTACTGAATGACTGTGTGAAAGAGGATGCGTAGAAAGGGGGTTGATTCAGATATGACGGCTGATAGAGATCTATGGAGGAGTATATACTGTGGCGACCCCCAATAAGGGCAGGTTGATGATGATGATCTTTTAGCCTGTTTTAAAAAACGGTAATCTTTATCGGCGCTTGTATGTTGTACAAATGGTTTCTAATAAAAATTTACTTTTACAAAAGTACAAAGAAAAAACTGTTTTTGATTCAATATTAAAGTTGAGTATTACCTTTGGCTGTTTATAGAAGTCATTGCATGTCCAGGGAACCATGTGGCACCAGCAGTCAGCACCTGAAAATGTTAAAATGAAAACTTCAATACTTTAATGAAAAGGCAAAGTTATCATTTTGAGCCGGTATCATTGCTAGATAAAGACCATCTTTAAGACTCAGACCTGGGATTGGACCCCCCAAAAACCTCTTGTTTTAAGTCCCTTAGGCACCACCTATAGATCTACAACTGCACAACAGAGGTCTATTCTATGGATGGATGGATGTTTGTTTGAAGTTATCTCCAGAACGGCTGTATGGATCTTGCTGAAATTTGCTATAGATGTAGAACATAGTTTAAAAGAACAATTGTGGTACTTTGGTATTTTTTTCATTCACAACGTGCGGAGTCGCGACAGCTAGTATTTAATAGTTTACCGCAACCTTGACCAGATCATCGTTACATCCAAAGTCAACATAAAAAAAGATCTAATCTCTTTAGATAAACTAACATTGAGATAAATGAATTCGCAGTGACATCTCTCGGTTGAATAACGTTTGATAATAGATACACAATCTCGATAGTCGATTGCCTGATGATGCGGGGCGCGTGTTGCAGCGGGAAGCGATAAGCGATTATAAAATAAAAAGAAACAGTACCTTAATTTTTAATGTTATCTAGTTAGCAAGATAGAAAAGTAAAAACATTTTGATCAAAAAAACATTTTTCAAAATCGGAGTGCCAGGGGAGGAGCTACGCGGTAACACACACAAATACAGACAAATTTATAATTTCCTTCTCTTTGAAGTGGGCTAAAAAGCTCAAAAGTACGTTAGTATAGTTAGTTTCAAATATGATAGAATCCTAAAATAAGTAAAAATTAAGTAAAAATTATAATACATTTTAATGTTATTTACTTTTAGCGGTGATTTTCCGCGCTTTCATCCGCTAACAGTGTGACCACAAGAGAACGTTCTGTATTATCTGTTATTATGTCTGGGGGGCATCCGGTGGCGAGCGGGTGTGTCCCCACTGATCGCGTGACGTCACAGCATGCAGTCACCTTACGACACACGATATGCAAATATTCATCTAATGTTCCCACGTGTAATATCACCGACAGATTATTAGTCAGTTTATAATATCACTAGGCGTATTAAAGTGACTGCAACAAGGATACTAAAGGAATCATTCAAAATTTGTCACGAATAATTTCTCAAAGTTTCTTAAACTATTAAAGTCAAATTTATAATACTAATATAATAAATTCGAATGTTTAGATGGATGGATGTTTGAAGGTATCTCCCTAACGGCTGACCGGATCATGTTGAAATTTGGCACAGATGTAAAACATAGTCTGGAAGAACACATAGACTACTCATTAAGTTTTTTTTATTTTGCGCGGACGGTGTCGCGGCCGACAGCTAGTAGATGATAAAATATGAACAGAAAATGTCACTTCATTTAAAAACAAGAATATAACACAATCACGTTCTGTTTTAATAAAGTTTAATATTTATAAGAATTGATTCGTAGATACTTAATTTGAAATAAACAGTCAATACTTTCGCAAAAAAATATACTAGAGTACCGCACCGTTTAAAGTTAAAATTCCTAGCACACACCTGTATGGAGACATGTAACCTATGCTTCAAGGAAGTGTGGACGAGTCTGTCAGGTTTGAGTTACTTGTAGGCTGAGCTAATTGCCCTTCTGGGAAGCCTTTGGCCTTGCTAGGTCCGTGCAGACGCGCGGCCAACCAGACCGCCGGCAGACGTTTTTTTAACAAGCCCCGACCTGTTGCCAAACCGGATCTCGGGCGCCGTGAGTGCATGGTAAATATTATAAGCGGTAGCGAATCTATTTGGCAAATTATTATTATACTGCTTTCGTTCTTTGGTATATATCTAAGCTTCAAGTTCATCTGTTAAATGAGCTTAAAAATCGTTTTTTGTAATTAATATCTTTCACATTTCACGTAAGTTCGACTTGGACTACCATACAGACATAATTAAAGATTAAAAAATATACAGAAATAACTTAACAAACAAGGTACGTATATGGTAACCACTTATCGTAACTTGCTACTAATATAAAATCGTTCGACGCTTTTAACTTGTACCATACTCAAAGATTCGCGTCGCAACAAGCTCTCGCTGGACGTCGTCTGTTCAGAGAAGCTTCTGCAAAGCCACGCGGCACTTGCTTCATACAAGTACATACATTGCAATGTACAGACATACAGACACGTCGTCCTTGCATACACCTGCTGGAGGCACAGCTAAATATAGATATCTTCCGTACACACACTGGACAATTAAAATACCAATAAAAGTATGTCAATAAGGTTATCAGGTCTGCGTATTTACCTGTTGTTGTGGCAGACAACTACAGCACAATTTATATAGTTAGCTGTCACCTGCGACTCTGCGCAGAATCAAAATATACATAGTAGCCGCTTCTCGGAGCTACTGAATATGCATGTAAAATTTGATAAAAATCGATCAAGCCGTTGTGAAGGAGTATGGTAACTAACATTGTGACATGAGAATTTTGTATAGATTAAAAGATTTTAAATGCGAAAATTTTAAATCTATATTTGCGCAGCGCCTTATGTTATTGAAAAATATGTGTGAAACTTCTTGTAAAATGTTGACGTAGAATTCGACTGTTGTAACACTTTCATTATTAGTTACAGCAGTGGAATTCGACGTTTAGCTTAAATATTTGATTAGGAAGGGCATGTCTCGAGGACACGGGTAACAACAGTAGTCACGTGCTTGCCTGAGGGCTAATTTTAATCAACGTTTCCTTTTCTTATAAGGAAATGATGGGAAGGGAATGGCGGCAAGAGGACGTTTATCCTCTTTCTGCGTACACTTCCTTAACTTAGCTACCGTTCACATAACTTGGCTATAACCTTACTTAGTCTATTTTGAATTCTCTCTTTTTTGCGACTCGTTTCGGATTTATTGTTATATATTTTAAATATATAGATTTGATGAACCATGGTATAACAAAACAATGATGTGGTTGTTAACTATATAAAATTAATAAATTAATATTGAGACCGCAGACCGCGTCTACCACCCGTGGTACCCTAGATGTGCCGGTTGTGCGACATACGGAGCCTTTTGTGCATCATCGCGCACGCCAAATAGGGTTATACGTTTTTTATTGTTGACACTATACGATAGAATTGCATGGATCTTACTTTATTGTAATTATATTAAAGCTGTCGCCCGCTACCGTTCGCGAGGAATTAAAATAAATTAATTAGTAGCCTATGTTTTCTTCCAGACTATACACTACATCTATGACAAATTTCAGCGAGATCCATACATCCGTGAGTGGAGTACCTTCTAACATTCATCCATCCATACATACATCTAAAATTTCGCATTTACAATATTATTAAAAAGTAAGATTAGGATATGTTGGAAACAATTTTCAAGTTAAAAGATCTAAATACTTATGTTATTATATTATTATAGTAGAAAAAGAAGTTGGTTATGTCCATAATATTCTAACGTATCAACACAACATTCTGCGTTGTTAAAATAGTAGTAAAAAAGCTTATTGTGCGTACCATCCCTTTCGCGTACAGTTTTATAAAGCCTCTTTTGTGATCGCAACAGCTGATTCCTGTGCCAGCGGTGGAAAATTAAAAAAAACAACTGCCAGTACTAATTATTTTTCCATTATTGTTACACTAGCTGTCGCCCGCGAATCCGTCCGCAAGGAATTAGTAGCCTATGTGTTTTACATCTATGTCAAATTTCAGCGAGATCCATGCAGTCGATCTGGAGATATCTTCAAACAAACATCCATCCATCCCTCTATCCTTTCATCCTTCTATCTAAACATGTTGTTCTTTAGTATTAATAGCAATATTCTATTGTTTTATATCGCCAAATACACTAACCTATATAAATGGACTGGTCATAAAACTTAGTATTTTGTGCCTATTTGATTTTGTCATATTAACACTTATGGTAGCGGTTTGTAGCGGTGACGTGGATTCGAACTACTAATATAAATAGAATTAGCTGTCACGTAACCTCAACAGGCGCCTTTAAATCGGAACAAAGCAATAGCTGTAATTACTAAGCAATTGCTTATCAATATATAGAGAATAGTAGCCATATAGGATCAGATAGCCACTAGCGCAGAAGTTAAGCATTTGACTTATCTACAGACCTTGGTTTGATCCCAGTCATGTATCAATTTTAACTTAAACATATATGTGATTCAGGGTTACTTAGATATTTGTTTTAATCAATTCACTATACGTCCACACTGAGGGGCTTGAAAGCCACCCTAAGTTAACGTGGCTAGACATAGTCAACCACGTTGGCACAGGGTTGACTTTACACATATTTATAAATTTCTTCACAGATATGTGCAGGTTCCATCACGATGTTTTCCTTCACCGTATGAACGTCGGATAAATGCACATAATATGTAAATCGAAAATCTAATTAATCATTGGTACATGGCGGGATTCGAACCCAGGACCTGCAGATTGCAAGTTAAGTGCTTCAACCTCTAAACCACCAACGCTCTCCTCTCTTATACCTATACTCAGTCCTAATTTGTAGGTTTGAACTTCGTTAGTCAGGGTTTTCAGAGTTCTTGGCGACAAATACCAACATATTTTGTTTAGGTTATACAAGACATGCCAGGTGTTCATAGTGTACGAAATCCTTTTAACAAAAACCGAGTTTTTTTTTTACAAATTGGGGTATTTTTTACTACCCTTCATTTATTTTCACTGTGTCACGCCGGCGTGCGATTATCGATTTTTATTGATTTCTTTTTTCATCACCATTGTTAACTCGGGATCGGATTCGATACCAGATTAGGGTTACGATTGGAAGGGGTGTTTGTAACAAAGAGTAACTAATTTTAGATAAAACGTACTTTTTGAAATTTGCCCATTTTATACTATTTTTTTTTTTTATAAAAGATTTATGGTATTATTATTTTTTTAACTCATTTGATCGTATCACACAGACAACGGATTAGTTAATGCCAACTTTTAAATAAATTATAAGTATGTTGAAATGAGGTTGTAACAG